ATGTACATGATTTTCTCAGTCCAGGGCCATCCATTAAAAATGTCACACTTTTAAAAGCCCTTAGCCCTTGGCCACCCTTTCCTCCATTTTAACCTGTTATGTACAGAGTTGAAAAGGATCCAAAATGCAGCAGTCTGATTGGTCCTAGAACAATAGGATTCAGAATGCAGCAGTCTGATTGGTCCTAGAACAATGCAGCAGTATGATTGGTCTGCAGGAGCCACCCAATCCAGATCCGGATGGAAGTGAATCTGCAACCTGATTGGCCTACAGGAGAATTCTGGAATTAACCAATCACGTGCAGCCCATTGTGTAAATAATGTATATAAAGCAGATACTTTGGGGGAACTTTCATTCCTCCTCACCACTATGAGCTGAATAAAGAGCATGAAATCCACTCTCGACTCCGAGTATATTTCATAACCTGTGCTGTACTATGCTGTTGACATGATGAACCAGGCCTATAATGGCCAACTTGCCATGACTTGCTTTCATTTTTTAAACAGGCAACGTTTCATTTCGGACAGTCAGGGGATGCTATTTTGCTGATTTACTTCGCGAAACCACACCAGGCATTTAAAGCACATCCAACACACTTAAAACACACAACTCCCCTCAAAGAATCATGGGACGTGTAGTTTGTTAACTGGAAACCAGCTCTGTGCGGGGGGAAACTAAAGTTCTCAGGATTCTTTGGGGAAGTTGGAGAAAGCTAGAGAGTTCCAGAAAGACATCTACTTCTGCTTCATTGATTGTCTCCCTGCTTATTTAACTTATATACAGAATTCATCATTCAAAAGGCTGGGCTGGATGAATCCCTAGCCGGAATTAAGATTGCCGGAAGAAATATCAACAGCAGATATGCAGATGACACAACATTGATGGCAGGAATTGAGGAGGAATTAAAGAACCTTTTAATGAGGGTGAAAGAGGAGAGCGCAAAATATGGTTTGAAGCTCAACATCAAAAAAACGAAGATCATGGCCACTGGTCCCATCACCTGGCAAACAGAAGGGGAAGAAATGGAGGCAGTGAGAGATTTTACTTTCTTGGGCTCCATGATCACTGCAGATGGTGACAGCAGCCACGAAATTAAAAGACGCCTGCTTCTTGGGAGAAAAGCAATGACAAATCTAGACAGCATCTTAAAAAGCAGAGACATCACCTTGCCGACAAAGGTCCGTATAGTTAAAGCTATGGTTTTCCCAGCAATGATGTATAGAAGTGAGAGCTGGACCATAAAGAAGGCTGATCGCCGAAGAATTGATGCTTTTGAATTATGGTGCTGGAGGAGACTCTTGAGAGTCCCATGGACTGCAAGAAGATCAAACCTCTCCATTCTTAAGGAAATCAGCCCTGAGTGCTCACTGGAAGGACGGAGCCTGAAGCTGAGGCTCCAATACTTTGGCCACCTCATGAGAGGAGAAGACTCCCTGGAAAAGACCCTGATGTTGGGAAAGATGGAGGGCACAAGGAGAAGGGTATGACAGAGGACGAGATTGTTGGACAGTGTTCTCGAAGCTACCAGCATGAGTTTGACCAAACTGCGGGAGGCAGTGGAAGACGGGAGTGCCTGGCGTGCTCTGGTCCATGGGGTCACGAAGAGTCGGGCACGACTAAAAGACTAAACAACAAACAACAGCAAACACTTTAATGTGCACCGAATGTCCTTTCAAGGAATAGTGTACATCTGCCAAAGTCTCTCTCTTCCTTCCATCCCACTCCACCCTTCCATCTATTGCCTAGTTACTAGTAAAAGTGGCTTGAATTGCTCTAGGAAACCTCCCAGTTAGCCTAGCCAAAGAATAAATTGTTTCTATTTTGAGGTTTCTGAGTCAAATGCAAACCAGAGAAGGTGGTTATCACTGTGTGCCACACATCATCCATTCCCCAGCAGTTAATGGCTTCACCCTACGGCAAAGAGAGGTGGACACACCGAGGAATTATCCAAAGCATGCCACATGCCAACAAGAGAGAGCCTGTGGCTACAGAAGTCTGAGATAAATCAGATATATTTACAATCTAACATCTTGGCATTTGTGTAAAAAGTTTGTTGCTTTGAGCAGGGTGAACTCTACCAATGACTTTGCTTAGCATCCTGTATTCTTAATAGGCTACATGGAAATATATCTCAGGAAATGGCCATGTGTTGGGTGATTTGACACATCCCTTTGGAAAAGCAAGATTATCCTCCTTAGTATATTTTCTGGTAACTTAATCCACCATGGTTTTAATTGTTCCGATTAATGGAACTTCCACAGTTTACTGGGAGAATATTGAATAACCCAAAATGTTTCTATATTAGGGAACTTTTCAGATCTCACCTATAATTTTTTTCTTTTTCCAATCTCCTATAATTGCTAATTATGCCCACCACTGAATTTACTCTTTAGGTGAGGGTCATATGCCTTGTCAATCCCAGCAGGTATATAACAAGAAGACCCGGCCTGCCCAGGCCGATGGCCTGCCCACAGCCTGAACCAAAAAACACACGCATCCACTGTTTCGTGGGGCCACAATAGCGCAACAACGTGGTTACAAAGCACGGATCCACATGGATCCTCAGGATTTTTGCATTGGGCTACCCCAAACTCACCGTCAAATCACATATCACATCTGTGGCCACAGCATGAACCACAAAAATCACACATAAAAAGACCATAAGAAGACCATAAGAAGGGAGAACAGGGACCTTGAAGTTCCCAACAGCTGTTAATCAAGCAAGCACACAGATCGCCTTTGTCACAGGTGTGTCACACCTATGTCCTGGCCAGGCCTGCACCCAGTCTTGTTTCTGTACACTCTTGGTTGTTCTCAGTAACCAAAAACATATTATCAACATATACAAGGAGAAAAGTTGTTTTCCTTCATTTGCAAGGAATCGTACAAAACAAAGTGGCACTAATAAAGAAAAGTTCCAGGGTGGCAACAGAAAGCAAACTAAAAATGCTTTTGCAGTTCATCAGAACTATCCAGCAATATAGAGTTATAGGAAAACTGGTGCTATTAAGAGTAATCCTAGTTAGTTAATTGATTTAGCAGCTTCCATGCACAGGACGTCTGATGCTAATCCCCCCCACCCAAAGAGTTAAATGAGATTCAGGTGAGAGTCATGCCTTGTCAATCCCAGCAGGTTTATAACAGGAAGACCCGGCCTGCCCAGGCCAATGGCCTCTTGCTTCCTTTCCTTGGTATTATTGCAATGCTTCAACAGGCCAATATAGATGGTTTCTCTCTCTCTCACAGTTGCTATTAAACTATGGATCTCTATTTCCTAATCTTTCCCCCCAGTCCTTAATCATTTTCATCACAGTTCTCTAAATGCCATCCATTTTATCAACATCTGTCTTCTGTTATAATTTGTATCATCAAAGCACCCAGTCAGGACTAAAACAGAAAAGCTATAGGCTCTCTCTGCTCTTGTTTTTTGTTTTTATTCCAGAATACGCTTCTTATTAAATATATCTGCTGGGCGGAGATACCTTTGTGTTCTTCGAACATATATGTGCTTTCAAGAAGCTGCGTCTTTCGTAGCAGGACTGCAACATTTCAAACCAGCTAACTCTAAACAAAGGAATCTGTATTTCATTTGGCTGCACATTAGGATTAATTATTTACTTCACCTATAACCTTCCTTTCTGATGAGCTCTAGGCAACGCACATCTTTACACACACAAACACAGCCCTCGTTTTATCCTGACAACAACAGGAACACATGAGAGACATAAGAGGTTGCCTTACGTATATCAAATCAGACCATTGGTGCAACTAACAGTATTGTCCAACGTGCAGCCCTCAAGGCCTTTTCTGGTGACCTTCAGGAATATTTGAGCCCCCCACCCCCACAACAGCCCTCATGTTGCCTTCCCAGAGCCAGGTAAGTGAGGCTCTGGGCTTTGGGAAGGAGGCATGGGGGCTCGGACAGGTTCCTAGAGTCCTCCCTCCTCCTTCCTAAAACCTAGTTACAGTGGTACCTCAGGTTAAGTACTTAATTGGTTCCAGAAGTCTGTACTTAACCTGAAGCGTTCTTAACCTGAAGCGGACTTTCCCATTGAAAGTAATGGAAAGTGGATTGATCCGTTCCAGACGATGAAAAACACCCCCTAAAACAGCAATTTAATACGGATTTTATTGTTTCACGAGACCATTGATCCATAAAATGAAGGCAATAATCAATGTACTGTACTATAAAATAAATAAGCAGTATTTTAGATGAAAAAAAATAAAATTTATTTCCAAACTCACTGTTTGGAGGGGGCTCAGGGTCCTCTTCCACAATCACAATCGGCTTGGCTCCCGGCATTCGCGGAGGCCTCAGAGAGCTCCTGCGGCTGGAGCCCAGTCGCAGAGCCTCTGCAGGCCCTGTGGACATCGGGGCTTGGCTCCCGGCATTCACGGAGCCGCTCTAGGCACCACAAATGTCGGGGCTTGGTTCCCGGCATTCACAGAGCCGCTCTAGGCACCACAAATGTCGGGGCTTGGTTCCCGGCATTCGCGGAGCCACTCTAGGCGCCTCAAATGTCGTGGCTTGGTTCCTGGCATTCGCGGAGGCCTCCGAGAGCTCCGTAGACCCCGTGATGTCCGGGTTTGCCTCCAGGCAGCAGCGAGGCCTCCAAGAGCTTGGACAACTTACTTCTGGGTTACAATCGTTCGTAACCCGAAAAAAGTAAGTTGAAGCGTTCGTAACCCGAGGTACCACTGTGCTGCTTTCCCAGCTTTGGGAAGCATAAGGGAGGGCTCTAGGACTCTGCCAGAGCTTCACACTGCCTTCTGAAAGCTCAGTGCCTCATTTACCGAGCTTTGGAAAGGCAGCATGAGGGCTGGGCTGTGTGTGTCAAATTTTGGCTTTATTCCGCCACCCCCCACGCATGTGCACAACGAGGCAGGATGCAGCCTGCAGGTTCTATGTCGAAGTACTGTTGCAGTCCATTTGGTTGGACTGCCCTGTACATTTTCAGCAGCTCTCCCGAGCTTCAGGTGAGGTCTCTCCTAGCCCTACCTGGAGATTCCAGGAATTTCACCTGGGACATTCTGCATGGTAAGCAGATACACAACCACTGCACTATGGGCCCTCCCCCCCCAAAAAATGCAGATGAACATAGGAAACAATCCAATGAGGTAGGTTAGTCAGAGAGATAGTGACTGCAAGCAAGAGCACACATTTTGTAGTTTCAGATGAAACAATCCCCCTTCTCCTCCTCCTCCCATGTGCTCTTCTGGGGAAGCCCCCCCTCCACAGCTAATTTTGAGGTGTTTGGAGGGGGTACATGGGGGGAAAGAGGGGGAACCTGGTTGAGTAAGTAAAAGTCCTTCGCAAGGTGTCCACTGACAGGACTCATTGGTAGAATCCCCCCCAGAATAAATCCCAAGAATGAATGCCTCAAATAAAATGTGGTAATTGTAACAAATGTACCACTTGTGTTTATCTGTGTGGTCACTGCACTCCTAGTGTTTAATGCTTGATATGGCAGCCATCGGGTGAGGAGCATGCGTACCTGAAGCAGCCTTAAGTTTCAATGTGCCTTCCTTGGAAGACACAAGATCTACCCACTTTGGAAGAATGGCAGATGAAGGTGATTGACTACATGGAATTGGCGGAAATGACCGGCAGAATCCGAGACCAGGGAGAAGAATCGGTGAAAGAAGACTGGAAAAAATTTAAGGACTATTTACAGAAATATTGCAAAATTAAGGAGCTTTAGAAGGATGTTGGATAGAAACTAAGGTTTTTAGCTGTAATGCTTTAAGAGATATGGGGGGGGGGGAAGGTTAACAATTGGGTAAAAGATTAATGGTAAGGATTTGCTGAACCAACAAATGGAACTGGAATACAAAGAAGGGAGGTATGAGGAGGTCCGGGGAAATAAGAGTAAGGAAGATAGGTTATGGAACATTATTGTGTTTTTAACTGTTTTATTTTGTATGTTTTTTCTTATTTTCTACTTTTTTGCTGTACTTTATACTTTTTTCTTTGTCTTGTGTATTTTTGTGAAACTTTAATAAATATCATTATTAAAAAAAAAAAAGTTTCAATGTGCCTTCCTAGCTACCGCATGAGAAATTATTTCAATTCCTTCAGTGGAAAGAATCCAGGTTCCCTGCGCCAACAACTGAACCTGTCATCTATTCATTCATCACATTTTGCAACCCATATGTATTATTCTTCCATTTGAAGGTATGGAAGATGACTGCAACTGACACCTAGAAATTAATTTGCGCAATGCATCAGTGTTGATTGGAGTGAGGCAAAGCATCCTGGAGAAAGTTGAGTGAAAAATAACATAAAAGCAAGCTAAGGGGTCCCCTGCTGGGGACAGCTGACAACTTGCTTTGTGGCCATGCTCAATTACCCGTTCAAGTACTCCTTCCTTTTAGGCTGTCATAGGATTGCTCATAACCAGCTGGATTACCACCATCCTTCTAAGAGAGCGGGAAAGTGGGCTGACCTGTTTTGGTCACCTCCTGTGGAAAGCTATATTAGCAGGCTTCTAGTACGACGTTTTCGAAATGTAAGCACTCAGACTTGGAAAGGCAAAATTGGAAGCACTGTGCAACATGAAGGGCACTGTGTGAGTTGCATTACGAACTGGCTCCAATCTGTGCAAACAACGAAAGGTGAGTGATCACCATTCTGTTTGCTCTGAAAGGGGTCAGCATTCTTAGAGCATTCCAGATGAGCGACAACAAAGCCTTGAGAGGTTTTTTACAGTGTTTGGACACTCAAAACAAATCCCAACTCCCAACCTTGAGGGATCAAAAACCTACCTTGAGGCAGGCAACAGCCCCAGACCCTAGTCTACTTACTGGGGGGCCAGACTGTACCGCAGAACCTCTGACAGAATGAGCACTCACACTTTACATTGTGGGTGCCCTTTGCAGGATCGCGCACGGTGCTACAGTTTCCAGGGAACTTAATGGCAAACAGGAACTGGCCTGCCTCTCAGTGTTACTATTTGGAGGTTCATGCCCAGCCTCAGTAGTCAAGTTTCATTGCTGGGAGGTGGGGCCGGTCCCATTTATATATAGGGGGTGGAGCCGACAGTAGCCAGGCAGTCAGCTCTGGATATTCACCCACCCTAACCTCCCTTAGTTTAATGTTTTCTTGTTTGCAGGTTAACTTTTTCTTCCTGTTTAGCGGGCGCTGCTATGGTCTTTGACTGGTTGCTGTTGAAGGACCGGGTAGAAATTTTCCTGCACTGGCAGGTTTTGTCTTCCCTGTAGCAATTGATCACAAATTTGGCAGTTTATGGTCTTGGGTGGAATCCTTTAGTCTTTTCTTCCCTATAATGGGGGGTGTCCCCTTTTAAAAGGGGTTATACAGTGGTACCTCAGGTTACATATGCTTCAGGTTACAGACTCCGCTAAGCCAGAAATAGTGCTTCAGGTTAAGAACTTTGCTTCAGTATGAGAACAGAAATCGTGCAGTGGCGGCGCAGTGGCAGCAGGAGGCCCCATTAGCTAAAGTGGTGCTTCAGGTTAAGAACCGTTTCAGGTTAAGAACAGACCTCCGGAACGAATTGAGTAATTAACCCGAGGTACCACTGTATAATGGGTGTCACTGGCCATACACTGAAAAGTTGTCAGTGAGCTACCCTGCGTGCGGGGGTATGGGCTTGGCTGCCTGCATACACATAAAATCTCGCAGTGCACCCCCATATCCCATTTACCCTGATGAGCCCCAGTTCCCTCTGGCTGGCGGGCTGGGAGGGATACACGCCCAAGGCCTAAGCCAAGGTCTTCCTACATTCAGAAGTTTAATAAAGTTGTGACCTAATTTTAATTCCATAACACATTGTCAGAATCTTTATTCCTTCCCTAGGATCCCTGGGGGCTGGGGCTGTCGCGGCCTGGTCACGCAAATAGCATGCAGAGTATTGGTTTCCATTGGAGTTCCTGCAACTTGTGGTCTCTCAAGTGCGACTTGCATTCTGTATGCACCCATCTTGACTTACAGGTGCCCTGTGGGTAGCTGCTTCCAGAAACCTTTCGATGAACACAAGAATGGCAACATCTGGGATGGCATGAGTGTAGTCTTCTCTGTGAAAGAGAAGTGAGGCAAGCAAACCAGCTTATTTAACACCTACACCACAGGTGTCACTATCAATCTACTCCTTATACTGGGTACAGTGGTATGGCAGTTAGGCGTAGGGTGATGAACAAGACTTCCTACCAGCTTCTCCCCAAACCATGCTTTTACTTAGCATTTTAATAAGCCGACGAATTAAACAAACAGCTTTTAAGAAAAATATTTCAGAAGAATAATCTTACAGTTTGAGAGTGGTAACCAATGTTAGTCCTACTCAGAGTGGACCCATTCAAATTAATAGATATGGCTAACCTGGTTCTATTAATTTGAATGGGTTTACTATGATTAGCATTTAGTTGGCTACACCCTAATGTATTCACCCATAAGAGCAAATAAACACAGATAAATGCATGCAGTTATACTTGTTCTCAAATGCTTCCCTCACCAGGCCAATGCTCAATTACTTATTCATTTGATTTTGATTTGATTTAATATCTTCTGGGTTCTTTGCTGCTTTTTCCTTGCTCCCTTTTACTACAGTGGCCCAACCATGCTCTCCAACACTTTCTTAAAGTCTTTTTGCCCTTTTTGTCTCTTGTAGCTCTTCCTGAACTCTGTCAACTACCCTTCTGTTTGACTTATATGTAACATTTTCACTTCCAGTCCCAATCTTTTAGCCAATCCATGGGCTCCTGGTTAAGTTTCTCTTCTTCTTTAATTGCCAGGTTCCTACATTGAACTTTTGACCATCCGGTGCAAAAAGTGAAACGTTGACGCCGTAGTGCGCTACATCCCCCTGCAACGTTTTGACCATTCTATAAAGCAAACTTTGGAGCTCATAAAGCAAAAGGAACTGTTCTATAACCCAAAACCATCCACAAAGTTGCTGGAAGTCCTGTTATTCCACACCATCACTGAAAGAAGAAGCACACAAGAAAGGTTCGTGGAATGCCTGCAGAAGACTGCAAAAGCAAGCCACAGAGGATTTACATAGAGCATAAACATTTTACTTGCATTGTGGTGAATTCTTTATTTTTGAGCTAGTTTGTGAGAAAAGCGGAGTTAAGAATTAGTATTCATTGTTATTTGTATGTTTTTAAGTTTGATGTTACGGTATAAATATCTTATTAGTAGCTTTTTCTTTTAGGAGATAGCAAAGTGGGTGAAAGGAGAAACAAACTAGAAGCGGAAGTTGGGGGAAGCCAAAAAGGGGAGGGAGGAAGGAATGCATAGTAAATGTTACGAATATGAGATGTATGTAATGAATGAAAAAGAAAATGAATAAAAAAAATTAAGGGGGGGGGGGGGGGAATTGATTAGTATTAGTTGAAAGAGTTTCCATTCTAGAAGCACATAACGTTTTCTAGATTTCACCTAAAATGTCCCCTTGCGCAATCTGAGGCATGTTAAAAGTTTATAAATGATAATGCTACAATCTCTTTATATTGTTGGAAGCATTTTGACCCTCTTTTTCCACGCCCAGATATATCCTGCACAGGAAATCTGCAGATATTTTACGTGCCCTTAGAAGCCTAGTTAAGTGGCCTTGGTCTCCGATATTATGCCCTTAACTTTCTGTTTTATGCAGCTTCTTTAAAATTAGATCAAATAGTATGGATAGATTTTTTTCCTCTCCCGTTACAAAATAAGCCCAAAATGGTTATACTGACGAAGAAGGTTTCTTTGAAGTAATTTCAAATTCTGAACTTCAGGGAGATGTTCTGTGATACTAAATTAAATTGGAAGGATGAACCCCATGGATGGAACAAGACAGCAGATAAAAAGAAGACACAAATTTATTCTGCCTGTATTACTCTCTGTTTGACCATTACTAAAGGCACTCCATAGTTTGATTCAAAGGCTGATTAATGAAAAGAACTCTAACATTTGCACCCATAATAGGATTTCCTTGCTTTAAAGAAAGTTGGGCCTTTTATCTTACCTGATTTTATTGAATAAGGTTTCTAATTCTGGGCATTAGCTGTCACATTTTGGAACATGATGTTACATGAACTTGAATTTTTGCTTGAAAAAGAACTGAAAGACTCT